CTCAATTCAGTCCTATCGTTTGGGTGCTGAAGTGTAGATGTTAGCCCTCAGACGAGGGGGACGTGGGAGCTCCGAAGTGAGAGCCAATATATTCCCCGCTTAGTCGCAGATTCAGTAACCAAACATAAGATTAGTCAATTTTCTTTATGCCTGGACCAAAGGGTAAAGAATATGTATGCTCCTATTTGACATAATACAATTTGAACTGATTCACTTTATCCATTCACTATGATTTTTTGACAAAGAGAATGATGCTTTCTTATATATTGAATATCACATTTATTAGTATAATTAGTTATTTAAGAGTTATTAAAATTACATATTTATTTCAATTGCCTATTAGTGATAGATAAACAATTTGAATTATATTGTTGTTATTAAATATTTATTTTTTAAAATCTTAGTTCGTAGTATTTACTCACTGTGGGATCGATATCTGGGACTCCATTAGAGCCCTCTATTACTTGAGCGATACGCATACTTGCGTTGATAAGTGTGACTTTACCATTATTGAATATTTTATATATATATCTTTATCGAATCTATAACCGTTGTTAAGTTTTTGGTGCAGTTGCTGAGGAATTAAATCTTCTAGCAGCAATATTAAATACTAGTATTTTTAAGCGTATATAAAGTCGCTGTCAATTGGTGAGGATCATGCATCGGTTGACAAACTTTATTTACAACAAGGGGAAGTAGGTTAGCTGATGAAGTAATTCAAGATTAGCAAATTTTGGTTCAACTGAAGGCACAACCGATAATTTGAGAGGAAGATGTGTAGATGTAGCTTTATAAGGCTGCATTCCTGTTTGGTGAAGCATATTCTTGGCGTAAGAAGTTCGATTTAAAGCAAGATAGTGTGATGTTTGAATGAACTGTTGTTCCAAGGTATGGGCAACAACTCCAACTTTCTTTTGATTGAATCAACTTTGGAGCTTTTCAAGAAGAGTTTAATGGGGCTTGCATTATTACTTGTGAGAAGTTTGTCATGCACTTATATATGAAAATAAACTTGAATATGAGCAGGGTTATAAATCTGAGGAGGCCGGTAGATTTAACTTTTTTTGAAACCTTAGTTTTATAGATAAGATGTAGCAACGTACCATTGTTCTGTAGCTGGTTTCAAAATAAGGTAACATGATTCAAAAATTAAGTTTATTTAAATCCTTGTGGTTGTGTCATATATACATATTCATGAGGAGTTCCATGAGCAAAAGCCTTTGTTACATTTAGCTATATAATAGGCCAGAGTAATGAAAGGTTATTGTATGAGGTAGGCAAAATGTAGTATTTGCCACAAGACTAAATGCCTCATAATTGTCAATATTGTATTGTTTATACCAATGAGCAAAAAGTTTTGCTTAATGCCGGGTAATAGATCCGTACAAATTATATTTAAGTTTGAAAATCCATTTCTTTCCTAAAACATTATAACAGAGATGAGATGGAACTAATGTTCAAATGTCTTATTATTGGAAATCATTATATTCATTTGTCATAGCTTGGTGCCACTCATGATGTTTGGCAACCGCTTTATAAATGGTAGGTAGTAGTGGGGACTCAAAATGATGAGAAATTTTAAGGGTATATTTGAGGTAGCACGCAACAACTGTGGTAGATTGCTGTTTCGCAGAAGTTGCTGAGGGTAAACTGTTGTCTCTTTATTTTTTGTAGTTTGAAAACAACTAAACAGTCGCCGTTTTTGGACAAATGACCATTTTGCCTCTGTATTGTAATACTGTTTACAATAAAACTGTTCATACTAGCTTTTCTCATACTGAAAAATAAATATTCAGTTTGAAAATTAAAAAATAAAAATAAACACCTTTAAACAGTGAGTAACAGGACTTTCAAAATTAAAAGAAAAGACTACTAAAATTACAATAAATAATATGATAATATAATTTTTAAAATGCTGCGGGTGTGGGTCGTGAGATAAGTCTTCCTCCAAGGAAACTCTCCACACTCAATTACTCTCCGCGGTGGAATTCTCCAACCCATTTGCCCATTTAAAGAAGTCACAACTTTTTGTTCTTTTCGTTTAACATCTATAAAACTGTCT